CACTATGAATAGTTTTACCTATGCGTTGACTAAACTTCATTGGAGCTATATTATATATATAGAAAATACGATGTTGATTTGGCTCTTCTCTTTTTTGCAAGCTGCATAACTAATGTTTTCTGTTTATTAAAGCTGTTAAATTGAATAACGCGAGATATCCACCTTGGATGATCTTGAGTTTATTACGCATTAGTTAGCGTAAACAATGACTTTATCGTCGCTTTAAAAGAACAGATAAGCTTTTGACTTATAATAAAAATTTGGAGCTTAAGGTGCTTGCTAAATGTCAGGTTCCTGATCACAAGGCCAGATATTTTGATTATTATTTGGCAGGATGAGAACTCTCATCACACATGGTGATCCATTAGTAAACAAATAGGTGGGGACTAGAAAAGTAAAGCTAAGATTACACGCATTTATAATAACATGGGTCCCTGTGTTACTGATCCTGATAGTACTGCTGATACTTTTAACAATTATTTCTCTAGGTAAGGGGTTACTCCTACTGGCATTAAATGTCAGTTTAAACCCGGAGCTCAGTCTCTTTTATCTTGTTCCTGAAACTAAGACTGAAATTCGTGCTACCATTAAAGCACTTTCAAGTGCTTCACCTGCTGGATGGGATGATGTATTAACCTCAATAGTTAAGTCTACTTGTGATCCTATTATTTACCTCTTAATTGTACCTGTTAATAATGTATGTGTTACTGACAAATTTCCAAGGGTGGTGATCTTGACCGGGTGGAGAATTATCGGCCTATTTCAATCTTGTCTGCGTTTGCTCGTATTGTTGAGCGCATTTTCTACTATCGTATTATTAATAAACAAATAAGATCCTAAGTAATTCTTACTTTGGTTTTAGTAAACCTAATCTGCTGGAAAGTGTCGATTGGTAATAACCACAAAGCTATTTAACGGTTGTGAGGCCAAGAGATCTGTTTTAGTTTGTGTGCCAGATATTTATTTGTTTTTTTGTTTTAATTTTGCGCAAAGCTACACGAGGGTTATCTGCGCTAGCCATCCCTAATTTAGCAGTGTTATACTAGAGGGAAGGCAGCTAGTCATCACCACCCACCGCCAACTCTTGGGCTATTCTTTTGCCAACGAATAGTGGGATTGACCGTCACATTATAACGCCCCCACGCCTGCAAGGGCGAGCATGTTCGGTGTGACGGGGATTCGAACCCGCGACCCTCAGATTGCGAGTCGAGAGCCCTAACCACTTGGCCATACCGGGCCCTGTGCTAGATATTGCCAAAGCACTTGACAGTGTAAATCATGCAGTGTTGCTTTATAAGTATACTAATTATGGCCCACGTGGTATTATTTATAATATTCATAAAACCGATCTGATTAATTGGCATTGTTACATTACACTTATTGGTTTAAAGTACCTTCTCCGTAGTCTTCTTTGTGGGGTTCCTCAAGGCTCAATCCATGGGCCTCTCTTGGTCATTGTTTATGTAAACAATTTACTTGCTGTATGTCCCAGTGGCACATGTAATTTGTATGCTGACGATACGACTCTTATTGAGCCTGTTGCTGGTTGTTTTAGAATTGCGAACAATGTGTTGTTATCTATTGCAACTTTGCTTCTTGACAACAGCCTGGTTTTGAATATTAGTAAGTGTCAACATATGATTATATCTAGAGAGCTGGTAAATGATGATTTGAGTTTTAATGGTATCCTTCTGGCCAAAGCCGAGTTGGTAAAGGTTCTGGGAGTGATTATTCAAAACAATCTTAGATGGAACGAACACATTGTATTGATCTATATCATGACTAGATGTAGGAGAGTTTTCGATTGGGTGCACTATCAGATCTATACTTTTCTATACTTGAATGCCTTATAATTTAAGTGTTTAGGGCTCACACTTTGGTGCGTTAACGCCGATCTGGCTATTACAAAAATGGCTTTTAGGGCTTATGCTGGGGCTTCCTTACCAAACATACGTTTCTAATAAATTCAAGAAACGCGGTCTGTTCATTATTTATCAGGCCTGGGATTCATCTGGGTTCTTAAAGATGTCAACATTTCTAAACCTAATCTGAATTTGTTCTAGTGAATGTGTATATTGCTCTCGTCACTATAATCCTTTTACTTGCAAGAAGTTCTTCAGTTTTAGATTCTAAGTATTTTTATTACTTGGTTCCTATTATTTTAAATCGTTTGAGTGTAGATTATTGGTCCACCAATAGTCTTACATTATTTAAATTAAAAGTCTGTAATTATGTTTTAGAAACATTTTCTATATTTGATTTAACTAGTCTGTAACTCATTTTCTTTTTGATTACTTATCCTTTTGATTGTAACTTTGTAAGTAAAAGAAAGAAAAAAAACTCTTATTAGTTTTTAGTACGTTACTTTTTTCAGGTTAGTTTGATGAGATCCATTTCAATGAAATGAACATGGAACACGTTTTATTATCAAATTTGTCCTCCGATGGGACAGCGGTAAGTCTACGAATTTACAACACTAAAATTAGATGTTCGATCCCCCTCGGTGAACACAAGAGATAGCCCGATATAGCTTTGCTATAAAACATACACATTAGAAATTTTAGAATTAGTATTGTTTTGTTTTTTTAATTATGCACAAAGCTACACAAGGGCTATCTGTGCTCTGCCCACCACAGGTATCGAAACCCGGTTTCTAGCGTTGTAAGTCCGCAGACATACCGCTTTGCCACTGGGGGGCTTAGAATTAGTACAACTCCAATTTATTTTTGAGTTTTACTAACTAAATGAGATATGTTAATCAGGTAGATATGTAACGCTGATAAATGTGCACATCACCAAAACTAGACCCCAGTTTTCCTTATGAAGCTTCGCATGAGTAGTAACTGAAGCAAACAAATTGATCAATTTGTAGCATTCATTTAGCACATAGATAGGTAGTTTAAGCAGGTGTGCGTTTACATGTAAACTAACAGTTGGTAAAAAAAATGGATATGTTACGTTTGTTCAGCGGTAGTTATTGTGCATCATGTAAAACTGATATTCTTGTTGGTAAGCATTAACTCAACAAATCATACAAGTTAAAATCTCTATAAATCATGTTATTTTGTACTTTCATCTTCTAAATACAAAAACAAACATTTTTGACAAATTATAAAAAGAAATCTATTTAAATTATAATTGCATTAAACCGTAATTTTCAGGTATTAATTAAACTGCCACTGAGGTGAAGAACTATTGGCTTGTAGTTGAAGTATATGTGGTATTTGGTATTAAGCAATTAACAGAGGATTCGAAGGATTTAATCAGCAGTTGAGTAGTTGAGAACTGTAATACCAGAAAAACCACAAGAAATTTAATAAGCCAAGTTAAGATAACGAATTACGCAAATTCTGGACTTTTATACGAAACAAGAAGACATATTTATACGAATTGCCAATCAGCTTTCTATTTTTGCATGAAACATAACCGAGATGAAACAAGCCTGTTACACTTTGGTCGTATTTGTTTTTAAACCTCACCTTCACTTAAAGTACTAACATTTCATTATTAGTTACGTATGTAGAGTATGAACCAATCATAAGCTGCCAAGTTGTATAACGCTTAAAGATCGACAAACTTTTGATTTCTTTACGTACTGTTAAGACTAACAGTAAATTCTAAGAAATTGTGAGTGACAGAAACTAAAAAAGAATGTGTAATAATCTGTCACATACACCATATCTTCCATATCCAGTGCAGACGAGGCCTTTCGCCAAATACCAAGGCTCATCAGAACGTCTAAAATACGGGAGATTCAGTAGTGGCCTAGGTTAGGGTGTATATTTGTGGCAATTACAGACCACAGAAGGAAGACAGCCAGGTTAGGGTGTATATTTGTAGCAATTACCGACCACAAAAGGAAGACAGCCAGGTACGAAATGCTAAGTATTCAGAAGGATGGGGATCTGAACAATTTTGGCTACTTGCCGTACGCCAAAGCGTCACATGTATAAAACAAAACAGCGTTCTATGTGATGATTTCGGTCATGTCAGTACGCACATATTATTGCGAATGCATTCGCATTCTGAAAAGGGGAAAGGGGCATTTTCGTCATAACATTTGTGGAATTTGTGAAAAGAGTGGTTTCGCACACCCGATTTAGTCCGGAAAGTCTGATTGTCCTTGCTCCATCTTTGAAATCGAAAATATAACTACGTGAATAGCAAATGAAGTTTAACTATTGTTGAACTGACGAACTATACACTGTTGTAACTTAGACATAAGTAAAATCCTACTTATAAAATTTTGTCAATGCAAGCTTGAAATTTTTATAGACCTTTGTCTCATCTTATTACAGTTATTTCTCGTCTAATATAAAATGATGTCTGTACGGTTTAATATATTTTGCATGGAAATATACAGCGTGTGTATTGGGTGTTTGATTTTTGCTCAAAAACCCAGGTGAATTATAGGATGAGTTGAACATATATTAAGCCTGCGAACAGATGAGATGGAAAATCTATACTTCTAGGAAATGTGTCCGTTTGTTTGTTGTTTTGTGTGTAAACGAAAACTACACAATAGGCTATCTGCACTTTGCCCGCCACTGATATCGAACCTCGATTTTTTGCGTTATATGCTCACAGTCTTATCGGTGACCCACAGGGGGTAATATGAAATATATTTCCGGTAGATTGTGAAAATTAGCGTAACAGATTTTTCATTTAAAATGCACACAGAAATATATTTTTTTTATATAAATTTGTATAATGATTTCTTCTATGTCATGAGACAAGTTTTTTAATATAATATATTGTATTCTATACAACAGTGTTCGACCAAAATGTGTAATTTTTTGTTTTGTTTTATTGATATAAACATTTTCGGAAATAATAACTCTAATAAAATATAAAATACTATAGATAATTTCAGCAGAAATTAGTTTAAAACTATAAACATGTATGATATTTCTACAAGACTCGAGTTTTTTCTACTGAATGATTTTAAGAGAAGGACATGAACGCTCGTTCAGGATGAAAAACAAAAGATAAAACACTCGTATTCTTCAATGCTTGATATATTTATTATAATACCCAACTATTACAACAACCAAGATAGTACAGAAAGTCTTTAAGATTGTCTTTGTGCACAAAGAAGAAATAGTGATTAAAGAACGTGTTTCATTGAACACAAATATACAAATATGTTAAACCTCTGAAAAGGTTTAAAAACCATAAAAGTCGTTCGTTCCAAGGTTTCATCAACATCGATCAGGTGGACAACTGAAGAAGAAATGGTCTGTGTTAAAGTGATCCGATATCCACATTTACGTCGAAACAAAACAAAATTATTAATCACAGAACTTTAAGCATTTTTCTCCAAATCAAAGTTACACGATTATTCGCTCATATATCAAGTCATCAAAAGCCCAATGGTCTGGTTGTGTGTTTTAGAGCAAAGCTACAAAATAGGCTATCTACTCTCTGTCGACCACAGGGTATCGAGCCCCGGATTTTTACGTTGTCCGTAAACGTACTGCTTAACAGACTAGTTGGGTTGAAAGAGCAAAGTAAACGAAACGTAGTAAGTCAACAAATCTAAACTCCAAATTGACCTCTTACACCTGCGCGATGTTATACTTTCATATACGGAAAAAATATTAGATTAGTAGAGTAATTCCAAATTACAATGCGCCAGTTCTTTAAAGTAATTATCTTACAACACATGTACATTTTTTATTTAAGGCAATGCAACTTACTTTCTCTGAATTCCAAATTTCTTACTCGTCATCGTCGTCTTCTATATCGTCTTGTCGTGAAAACAACGCTTCTTCTGGAATGGCTCTTACATCATACCCACGGTCACGGAACTCACGTACTTCACTATACAGAAGCATCGTAAACAGATCTTTTTGAAATGATAATTTACATAAAAATGTCAGTTGTGAGACTGTAAATATCCCTTAAGTTCTAAAAAGCAACAGCTTAAGCTTTATGTGAACATCCCTCACTATGGCCCAGCTTGCAAATACAAAACGAAAACTTAACTTTATATATGCAAGCCACTCAAAAGAACGGAAGTTAAGGCCAGGCTAAGTATTTGATTTTAAAATTTTAACCAAATACGAATCTTTAAATTCAAGACTCAGAGACTGGTTGTTTTCTTACTTAAAATTACCATGATTTTTATAAGATTTAATGTAATAGATTCAGACGTCATTCATATAATTTTTCAAAGAATCAGACGGATTTGATTTATCCAAAAATGTTGATCTTTACTAACGCAATCACTTGTTATAGTGACGGTTAAAAATAATCAGAATTTTAAAATCAGCTCACTTTCTCTTCCCTCGACATTTGCGATAGCAAAATCCCCTGTAACACACTCTAAAGCACCATCTCCTAGCCTTGGCCTCTTCCACCATCACAGCCAATACCATCATCAGGCACAGAGCAACTACAAGCTTCCTCATGGTGGCGTTGTAGATGAAAGTTTACCTAAAATATTTCCAACAAACAATGATAGCCGGTTTGTCTAAAGCTCGATCTAAGTGATTTTATTATAAGTATTTGATTTCAAAATTGAAATCCTTGAATAAATATAATCCGGGTTTTCATATTCAAAGCTCTTATCTGCAATTATTTCAATATCACGATATGGTTCAACTTGTGAATAGTTTTTAACCAGATTAAAGCTTGTAAAACTTTGTAAAACTTTATGGTCTTAAATATTTAACAAAATTTTGCTTGAATCTGATTAGTAGTTAAATAAAAAATGTTTATCGGATAAATGTTAGATCTTGTATACATTTAACTTCAATGAATTTCAGTTTTTAAACTGTAAATCTACATTATGTATCACCAACTGCTTATAGAACTCATTCTGAGTATAACATTACACTTCATAATATATCATGCTTAGATAATATAATTGGTTTCTTAATAGTGTGTCTGAAAGAATCCCTTTCTTAGCTATAAATGGACTTATATATAAAACAAAATTTCCAGTTCTTCTAACTAATTAATTCCGCGACTATATTTCACTTACTTTAGAATATTCCCGGAGAGTGTCTTATTCTAGAATTACTAGCATATTTTTTGAATATTTGAAGTAAATATAATTATATGTAAAGATAGCACACTTACTACGAAACACAATGTCCAAATTGCTGAGGCGATGTTAGTTAAGAGGTCGTGCCTTGGCAGCCTAAACCATTACTTTTATACCTGTAACATCCTCATTATTTCCAGGATATCGAGACCCCTGTTCCGGAAATTCATCTTAGGTTAGGATAGCATCTCAGACTTGGAGGTGTTGAGAAACACCATTCTTATCTTGGTCACATGCATCCTCTTTATTATTTCCACTGATAAAGGAATGATACCTAAGCCTAACAGATTTCCGCCGTCCAGCGGCACACAGGAAATAGCTGTTTTTCTGTATCAAGAAAGAAAAAAAACCTCTATACTAGGAACTTTTTGTGAAGCCTCAAGTATTGTGATAACATTCAACTTCTGTATAAAATTCTGTATAACTCTGTACTATATATATGTATATATACACACACATATACAGTGACAGTGTTATACAATTGTTGCATTTTTAAGGTATAATAAAACTGTAGTTGTTCTTTTATCTCACTTTTGAAAATAGGGTTAAAAATTTAGAGTTTAATACCTAATTCTCAGAAAGTTAGCATAAAAACTATTATGTATAGATTGGCCGAATGTTAATAGATAAATAAAAATACTATCCGAAAACTAGAGGAAAAGGCTCGAATTATAAAACGTTTCTTGACGAGTTGGATGTGAAAGTTACTTTGCATTTTGGCGTTGTGGGTGCGTTATAAGAGTAACGATCAAATCCCACTTTTCGTCAGACAAAAGTAGTTCAGGAGTTGGCGTTGTTAACTAGCAGTTTTCACTCTCGCCTATGAGTTCAAAATTTGGGTCAACTATCATAGCTAGTCCCCGAGTAGCTGTGCGCGAATGTGCTAAAACATATTCCTCATAATTATTAGCCATTCAAGCCCTTCATAGCTGTAACCATTCTGTCAGGCACTTCACTTTAGTGACGAATGTCACCACATGATTAAAATTTGCAAGTAGGAAAGTACTCGCACATTCAAAGATCAACTTATTTCAAGACAACGAATAAATTATTTTTTGTAGAACTTAGCTGTTTGTTGTATTAACAATTTATATTTTCAAGTAGCCTATTTGTACGGTAGTATCAAGTGTGATAAACAGGTAGGATGAGACCAGGGTAGATTAAAAATGCTCAGAAAACTTATAAAAATGTAGCATTGATTATGAGCATACAATAGTTTTAAGTCTTATGTGATATTTCTGCTTTTGCATTAATAGTCGAAAGATAAAATCTACTGCTGAATCTGATAGTTTCTGGTTGTTAGTGGTTAAGTTTGTTGTCAATTTTTAAATCGTAAGCACGTAGATTGTTTTTGTGATATGTGTTCATTCTATTTATATTGTAAATTACATTATTTGTTCACCACAGAGCCGTAACTAAAAGTTTGAAAAGACAATTATGAATAAAAATCATGTAAAGAATTGTTTTTAAACTTGGTATGTGTACTAAAGAAGTAAAATAATAATAATAATAGCGATGTTAGCCAGAATAAGTAAGTAATTTGTCGTCGCTCTTGTGATGAACCTCGTGACACAAGCTAATGTACGAGTTCAGGTTAATGCCAAGTGAATCGTTACGAGTATTTCAAAACTTATGTAAGAATTACACGATACATCATGACACGGTTTATACATATATAAAACATTTACTGTACTTTTAAACAAATTTTAACAGTATTTGATGGTACTATTAAAATCCATGTTAATTGAACTATAGATTTAAGTGTTTTGAAATATTTATATTATTTCCAGTAAAAGTTATCAGTGTATTAGTGCACAGTTATTATTAGCTTTTAGTTGAACAGAGCAATATCTACATATTTTCTTTTTCGAACGTCTTTGATCTGTCTTACAATTATACGAAGACAATATATTTTATTTTACTCTTTGAAATCTTCTAAAGTAATCGATTAACTCGTATCCCGGCACTTGACGTTTTCGCTTACGATAACAACGAACCTGATGTTGAACAGTAGAAAAAAAAAAGTTTAAGTTGGTTTTTATTTGAGCCATGAAAGGAATTATTTTATCTGAGACAAATAATGACTAGACAAATTTTCTTTCCAGTCCGCTCATAATTTGACGTCCATGCCTCTTTACTTTTATATTTTACAACCAGTGACCAGCGTTTATTTTTTGGTATATATTCTGTCAAGTAATCCAGAAGTTTTTAAAATGAAAATGTTGACAGCTTATATTAAACAGTCTTTTTGTGGAGTACTTTTATGTCCAATATTAGGCTAAATAATGAAAGGTAAGATTAAGAAATAAATGCCATTCGCCAGCCTCAATTTTTCAAAAACGTAGGATGAAAACAGATCTTATTTTTTAGAGGCCTGATACAATTTCATGCCAATTATTGAATGTGTAAAATGAATTAGAAAACAAAAACGTCATCAAAACATTTACGCTCATATTGATAGTAAACACCTGACAATTTAATGCTACAAAAAACATTTGTGTACATTAAATAGTTGTTTATGAAAAAGTGAGTTTTTAACATTGAGCATTTACACAAGCGCCAATGAGTTTTGAATTGTTACACAATCCTTTCATGGTTTAGAGGTAAACTTTGGAGCTTATAACCATTAGTTGAAAAACTTACTTAGTTAAAATTACAGAACACTGATTTGTAACTGATGATTTTTATATAATTGATGATCTACCTATAAAGTGTAAATGAAAGATAATCCATGTTATGGTAACAATTTCAAAATCCACGTGAGGAAATATTTGTTTGGAAATAGTCAAAGAATAATCTATTGATTTATAATTAAAGGTTCTTTTACGACTATAAGTGTCAAGTTTTGTTCGGTATTGTTCATTTGTGAAAATGTGTTTGATGGTTTGTTAAGATAATAAGTTTTAAGAGTCTCTTCGTTACTTCCATCAACATTGGAATAATACGTGAGCCTAACTGGCTGCTGCTGTCCAGCAACACAGGGCGAGGATGCTGTTTTCTAGGTATCTCTCTCAAACAACCCAAATTCATTAACGATTTTACTTTCAACCTTTTGTGAAGCCTCAGCTATGTCGATAACGTACAATTTATGTGAGAAATGACAACTGGAAACTGAAATGGTAAAAACTGTCTCATAATATTAACTAGTTGTGTTAAAACAGAGAAAGGTGAAGGCCCAGTTCTATAAACATACGCGGGGCGGATTGATCCACCGGGACACGGGAAATTATCCCGTTGGACCGGTGACGCCTGGGCCAGTGGGGTAATAACGTGGTTATACTGTCCCAGTAGCAACTGACTAAACTACAGTACATCTCTCTCTCTATATATATATATATATATGTATATCATCCTTATTTTTTTAGTTATATATATATATGTATATCGTCCTGAGTATTTTTCCGGGCCGTTTTAGGTTTCCAATCCGTTCCTGAACATACGGTGACAATATTCGGTAACTGTTATTTGTGTTGAATTTACAGGATATCATTCATTCGTGATATTATTTTATAACTTTGCTATTTGAAAATAGGCTTACATATTCCAAATTTAACTCACACATCATGATGTTCAAGTGACAAAGTGAAGCTTTTTATTATGGCTAGAGCTATAGGCTGTATCAATCAGAATAGATCCATAACGGCCAGCATTTGGGAAGATTGGAGTCAGAGATTTTAAAAGAGATTGTACTTCTTCGAAATATAAATCTTCCAATCACGGGTAATAAAGGCCACAACTTATGTTGTCTACTAGCCTGCAACTTAACATAATATTATGTTTAGGGACAGTAAAGGACCTATTGGTACATTGAGGTTTCCCATCCTCTAAACTAAACTAAAACTATTAAATAAATGTTTAAAAATCTTATAGCCAGCCATTATCATTCAAATATTTATTAATTCTTCCCTTAAATTAACTGCTTTCTTCCATCCAACCACTCTTCTATTCAATTTGCTAACTTATCTCCACACCTATAGAGACAATTTTTTTACAAACCATTTATGTGGCATCTTGTCAAATGTTTTTTTGCAAAACGGAATTAGTAATTATTATTGTTTCATCATAAATTTAAATATGAAATTATTGAACTTTTCATTTTCTTTACAATGCAAGTCTTTTGCTCACTGTCCTTCCACCCTGCTCCCCCCAGTGGCACAGCGGTATGTCTGCGGACTTATAACGCTAGAAACCGGGTTTCGATACCCGTGGTGGGCAGAGCACAGATAGCCCAATGGGTAGCTTTGTGCTTATTTACAAACAAACAAACTTTCCACCCTACCTCCGAAAATTACCCTGGCTACGGCACTGGTAATTTAGGTAAACTCCCAGTTTAAAAACTGACATTCAATTTAATTCAATTTATCCTAGAAAATAGAATATTCTTGTAATTATGTGTCGCTTAACTCGTGAGCTTTTCTTCTTTAACTGGTAACCAGTGTCAAGTAAAATTATTTCCAAGCATTTGTTAGGCAATTAACAGCTTATCTGAAATACAACATGACAACTGTAAACACATACTTGTGTTTTTTTTAACGTAAAACTCCGGGATCACCTTTTGTCAAATTTCATCTATTTAAGTATTAGGTAACGAAAACTAGGTGGTGATATCAGTCAGAGTTATAAAATAATCGTCGTTAGTAAATAATCCTGTAGATTACGTAAAAGTAATAAAAATTGTATTTATTACGTTTTTTTGTGTCATTTGCAATGCTCTTTACCAACATTTGAACACTTTATTAAATATTCAAATCTAGATGAAAATTATCATTATTATAGAAATTCTATGAATCATAGTTTCCCATTTTCTAACTTCTAAGATGAACTAGTTAATATATTGAGTCAGAATAATACATGTATTGATTTATTGAAATTATCATGTCTTCCACGTAATCATGATTTTATGAATTAAACGAAAGGATTATGACCCATATATATATTTTTACCATGTCTTCAAGTGATCATTATATATAGACATAAATATTTTAACCAATGCATTTCCTGCCAGGTTTCATGTGTTATCATTCACATCCGCGTGTGCTGTTAAAACCGAATTTCAGCACCGGCTTTTGTGTACTGTTTCGGCATGG